TAAAACTAAAATTATCCCAATAATTCAATTAGTGTCTGGCAGGAACAAAATTATTCTACTGTGCAGAAAAAAGACGAGCTGGGCCCACTCACTCACACACAAACGTGAAGTAGAAGTGGCCTGAACCTATTATAGCAGGGGGAAAAAAAATGAAGATGTATCTTTATAGCTGCTGAAAATACCTTGGAAATTTAGTTTTTGTCTTATTTATGCTGCCATGAATTTCTAATGTTTCAAGTGCTTTTTTGAAAAAATATCAAGTTTAACTATTGTCGTTTATAGGGAAAGATTGGTTTTCACACTACACTCGGTAATCACAACGTTTAACATTACATGTACCATACAGATTACCAAGCTGCAGTAGCCTTTTTAGAATTCCATGCTTCAACTGTTCCATAAGTCGACAGATCAGATTCAGGTAAAAAGAGTAACTGACACCTCCTCTCATAACTTTTATTGTATAGGCAAGAAGCCCCAGGTAGTCAAGCCGTTTCGACAGGTCACTTATATTGCTGCAGCCGATATCTTTATAGTGTTCATTGTGCATCACATGCACCAAGAAGCAAACATGAGCTAACGGACTTGCGCACTGAACAGAAACAGCCGAAACAAATTCCAGCCGACATCTGCAAAGCCGGGGATTTTACTCTAGTCAATTAAGGTCCGGTCGGCTCGACTTTATTTACCAATTTTTCGATCCAATCTGCCCGCCGACTAGAACTTAGAAACATTGGTGATGGCCAGTCAAAACACAACGGGTAATCCAACACTAACCCCCACCAGTGTTGTCTCCCAGCATTTCGGTTTGCACAATTTACAAGCAGTGTCACTTTACCCAGACAGTTGGAACGTCGTGCAGCGCCACAACGGGAAAAACTATTTCATTAGCGCTGACATGGCAAACTCAGTTGCGTGAGTGGCGTCAACAGAAATGACACTCGGCTGTCCACGCCGAGTGTGTTTGAGTGCTTTTTCATCAAATTTATGGCTGACAATGACATTGTGAGTTTGACCTTTAGTCACTCAGCTTCCTCGGTCACTTCAGACTTGTCTACAAAAAAATTGATTATTTTCCTGTTGACTCGCCCAGTCAATATTAAAACGTTGCCACACACCCAGCAGAAGCTGCCTGAGCGTGAACAGATGTCCTGTGCTCCCACGACTTTGTCAAACATGATCAAGCCATGATTAATTTCAAGTTCGCCAATGTGATTCGAGACATTTTAGACTGACACTTGCAGGCATGACCACTACTGTGCAGCACAAGATAACCAGAGCTGCTGTTGGAATGAGGCAGCACAATACAATTTAAGCTCAATCGTTCTTACCAGTTTACAAACTCGCCCCATTCAGGGATGACATATCATAGCTATAGCCATTTGCACACACGCACGCACGCCAACGCACGCACGCACGCACGGCACACACAACACGCACACACAGCGCACCACACACACACACACAATGCCACGCACGCACACAACACAGAGTAAAGCTTTAGGTATGCTTTCAAAATTATCCAAATGTAACATCTAAAACAAACTTAATTAATAAACACTAGGCTTATTATATCAACGGGACATAACTTAGTTCTATACACGCCAAATGCTATTTCCTATTTTTAACAAGTGCCGCATAGCGACAGCGCTCATCTAACGTCTACTGACGGTGACTCTGTGTGAGTGGAGGGATTCTAGTAAACCCTGTTAGTCACATAATGTGTTCACATACAGCCGAAACAGTTGGAATGCACAGGGCAGGTATCAGGAACCTTTCTTCAAAAGAATTGGTTCGTTGGCATCGTTATTGTAAGTTGCCACGAGATGGCGCGTACCGTTTAAGTGTGTCTATCAGATTTAAAGATGGAAGCTCCTCGATCATTCAGTTAGTTAGCCAACAAACTATTGGCAAGACAGAATAGGGTAAGCAACACTCATCCAGTTTACTACGCAAGACCTACAGGCTGCAAATTGGCAATAGAGAGCTGCCACCTTGCAACCAATTAAACGTAGGCAAAAACTGCAGCCACCAGTGGCATACGTACATTGACATGTAAACATCTGACAGTACAGGAATGACATAGAAATTATAGATTTAAGGAACATACACCTTCTTTAACAAATTTAGCTTTTTGAAATTTCACTGTGGACATTGTATAGACTCATACATCCAGGCATGTATAGATTCTACTAGCAAACCCGGCAGTCAAATTCTTTCTAACAGACAGTCAACAAATGCCAAGTTATAACCCTCCATCTTGAGGGTCAAAAGCGTTATGCCGCACACTTACTCTTCGCATGTCCAGCAGAAGCGGACATTTCATGGTCCTTTCAATAAAGCCATAAAAATGCATAGGTCACGCGCTAAAACAAAAAAAGTTTTCAATCGTCCGTCAGAACCATGTCCTCAGAAAATGTCTAAACATCTGGCTCCTGTGCCCATATGACGCTTGACCTGTGACCTCAATATTCAGCAGCAGTAGATCGCTTTTTCACTAACCAATGATGCACTATACACACTATCACAGAGCTAGGTCGAGCCGTTTAGATTGTGCCGCCAATTCTGCATTTCCTCCCTATACCTTAAGTTAATGGAGTGGAATGGTCCCCTTCTTTTACACCTCTTGACCTGACTGACTTTGACCCCCAGCTTCGACATCCCAACTCGTTTTTCGCGATTCACCCCGCGCCAATGTGCCGAATAATCGTGACCGACGGTCGAGCGGTTAAGATTTGTGCCCAACCGTTACGGAACGCCGCGAGAACGGACGGACGGACACGCACACGGACGACGGACAACGCGATTCTACACAGCTGCATCTGACTATGTCAGATGGAGCTAATAAAACGCCAAGCCTCTAATCACAAACCTTTCAAAATTACTGTCACCTAGAAAGCGCAAGTAGTACCTTTTATTGAGCTTGCATACTCGCAGATATCACACTTGTATCGGCTTTTTCCCCTGTGTGACACCTCAGTGATGCCTCTTAAGGTCAGAACTTGATTTTGAACTTGGCAGGACAAGATGTCAGTTGATCATGGACAATCTCCTAGTGTGTGTTCTTAAGTGAACTGTCAGCTGGCCTGAGTTTGCGGGCTTGCGCATATGGGCACATCTGACACCTGGTGAGCAGTCAAAGTAATACAAAAATAAATCAGACTAGTAAGCATACATTACTGTTTTAAATCTGAATTATACGATTAGTACTCGATTCTTTATTCCCACTATATTTGCGGCTCCATAATTTGTTCGCTTAATTTCGTATCGGGAGCTTGTAGGAGGTTTATTTATAAGCTTATTATTAAATTTTTATTATATACCTTTCATAAGCTCCCGGATTCTATCACAAATAAAATATAATAGTTATGAAATTATATATTAAACAACGAACAAAATTCGAGAAATGCGTACTTACTAAATGGCCGTTCATCTGTTGTGTATTCTCAAATGCGTTTTTTCAAACTGCCATTGTCCACACATTGAATATGCGCTGTTTTAAAAACAAGTGCCGCAAAGCGACAGCCTTCAACTGACGTGTACTGTAGCCGCCGGTATTCTTCTGATAAACTCACTGGCCCAACCGAATCAAGTGCGCCTCACCGCCACCGCGTTGATTAGCTTTGCTATTACGGTAGTACAGTGATAAAGATATAGCAGTGTAACGTTAATGACTTCGCGATATTAACGTTTATTCATGGATATGCGTCGAGCCGCAGAGCGTAGTGATAGTGGTGGGGGGGGGGCGGGTGGAGGGGCGGCTCTAATAGCAAAGCAGTATCAGTCCTTTGTTAACAGTCAAAAACAAATCCATGGTTTAACCCTCTCGTGAGAGGTAAAAATTTATCAAGACACTTACTTCTTCGCCACGTCAGCGGAAAGTAGATTTCAAGGTCCTTTCAATAAAGTGATAAAAGAAGGTTAGGTGCAGCAGCTGAATACAAATAAAAGTTTTTGCACTTCGGCCGTTAGACAAGTCCTCAAGAAAATGTCTCGATATCTGACTTATCCCACTGCCCTTGACCTACAATTTCGCACTGGTATGGGTTCCTCCCCATCACACTATAACCGAATATTAAAGAGGTACGTAGGTTAGAGCTGTTAGAGATTTGGTGCCGCAATTCCGTATTTCCTTCTAATACCTCTAAGTTAAGGGGAAATATTACCCCTCCATTTGACACATCGTCGACCTTGAACCCCGCCAAATTCACAAGTCGGCAGAGTCCGTTTTTGCGCATCTGCCCGAACTGTCCCGAATATCAAGACCGGATGTACGTCGAGCAGCGGTTAAGATTTGTGCCAACTGTGACGGCGGACAGTACGACGACACGGGACGGACAATCGATGAACGATTCTACGAAGCTGCATCTGACTTCGTACAGCCGACGCTAAAAAACAATGACGGTGAGAATAAGCCGCATTCACGCGAAAGCAACAAATTCCGTATTTTAGCGTGTTACACGAGTGCTAAAATGCGACGCGTCCAACAAAAATAGAATCGAAATAGATTAACAGGGTATTTGTTGAAATACGCGGGACTTCCAGATGCCGGGATGTACTTCTCTGTGCCTGGAGAAATTCCGAATCTTCTTGCGACGCGTATTTCCTCAGTGTGAACGCTAAATACCAAATTTTGAAGCCGCGTATTTTATAGACTGCGTCGCGCTCGACAGTTCGGCTCGCGTAATGTGAGAGTTATGTCGAGCCGGACCGATACCAGGGGGCAAACCCCATTTTTGGGGTCAACCAGACATGGGGGTGTTGTAAAAGGTTGTTTGGTATCAACGTGTCAGGAGACCTCCTGACACCTTCCAGGTGGACTACCCTAAAAATATGCTGCTGAAAGAAAAAAAAATGGCGGCATTTTTTCAAAATGGCCACCATGTCTAACTAACTATTAAACCAATTTTTTGAAGATAATGTTGAACTAGAAACCTCCTTTCACCACGTGTGTTTGGTATCATATATAAAGGAATTTAATTCTCTATAAGTTGATACCACATTTAATGGGCTTGGTGGTGATTATCGTAACAATTTTGGGCCAAAAATGTGATTTTTTACCATTTTTTCCCAAAATATTAATTGCACCAAAATACATTTTTCTCCATATTTCAAAAATCCTTTTCAGTAATGCATTGAAACTTTCCAGAAAACTGCCCATATGTATGGTTAATATTGTATGAAGAGGACAAGTTCATTGGTTTTCTAACAATAAAGTTATAGTGCTCCAAACTTAAAATTTTGATATTAGCTAAAACAGCATTTTGTACATTACACACAGGCTTTCTCCCGCTATACGTTTAACTTGCGTCGGCTTTGCGAACCTCGTTTCACCATGTGTGTGGTATCATATTAAAGGGAATTAAATTCTCTACAAGATGATACCACATTTAATGGGCTTGGTGATGATTTGCATAACAATTTTGGGCAAAAAATGTGATTTTTGACAATTTTTTCCCAAAATATGAATTGCGCAAAAATACATATTTCTCCATATTTCAAAAAGTCTCCCGCTATACCTTTAACTTGCGTCGGCTTTGCAACCTTGCGTGACGGGTTTGCACGTCTTGAAGATGTTGTTTGAAAAAGACATCACTGCCACTCATAAGTTACAGATGATTCAGAAGTCCCATGAACAGTTATCAGCCCTGCAGGAACAGATGATGCTTTTCCAAGAATCACTGGTTGAGCAACCAACATCAATTTTCTGGTCCATCTTCCTGGAGATGTCAGACATTCTTCACAGGTTTATTTACTACCAGCGAGAAGCTGACTGGGTATGAGTAGGACATCTCTCTGAATCATCACGAATGCTATCTTACCTCACAGCAGCCGGGCACTACAGATATGGGCAGCGGTCTTTGCCTCCCTATCTGGCTGAGATGAAGAAACTACCTGAAACAGCCCCAGATGTACATGAAGCACTAATAGCAGGTGCATTTGTCGGGAGGAGAGCAGATGGCAAGCATAATAGTGTCTCTCCTGACATGCTTCTGGAACAGACTTACAATGCAGATGCCAAGGAAGCGAGTGGTCTGGATGGCCTTACACTAAACCCTGCCACACGGATGAAATGGGTTTACACAAAACCCATCACTGCTGCTGTCTCTGCAGAGTTGAAATTGATGCTACATCTTCATTCATCCAGCCCTCACCATGAATCTGGTGTAAGTCGAGTCACAAGGGATGCAGAGATGGGGATCAAGGTAATGGCAGCAGTCGAGACGAATCCATTTGGTGCAACCACAACATCCCTGATAAATATAGCAACTGGACAATGCGCTGATTGCAACGTTAAGAACAACCTTACCAGTGTGAACAAACTGGGTCTGGAGGCACTGTCTCAGTCACTGACCAGTGATCAGAAGAAGCCAAGTACTGTGAAGGTGAACACAGAAAACACAAAAAACAAGAAAGTTGAAGAAACCGAAGAGGTCTGCGGCTAAAACAGCTGCATCGGGGAAGAGTAATGAAATAACTGCCCTTCTGCGTATGACACAGATCATTGCCAGTGGTGGAGAACTAGACATTGTTGACTTCATAGGGAACCATGAATGCAGTGACTACCCACCATCTCTCTTCCAGGATGATGGCAGAATAAGAACAGGTACCAAGTCAAGCCTAGTGAAAACCCTGAAAGAGGAGACCAAAGTGACCAGCACTCCTGCTCTGCCCCAACATGACAGAAAGACAGCAGTAGTCATTGATCCCATGTATGCCATTCGACACTGGTCCTTCCACAAAGGTGAAAGATTTTGGACCATTGCTGAATGATACAAATACCTGAATGATGTGCCTGCTGGTACTGAGTTCATGCACATCTGTTGGGACAGGTACAGGTGACCAAGCCTGAGGTCCGCTGAGTCGGTAGCATTAATTATTCCGCGAAACTTGCGGAGAAATATGCGCCAGGAGAGGTCAACGCCACCCGGTACACATGCGGTTTGCTGCTGCCACCGCACACTAGCTCCTCACAATAGCGCACAACAACAACTTATACTTTTACACACATCGCGGCTGTGGCTGGACCGGGCGGGCACACTTTGCGCGGTGCTTCGCGAGACGTGTCCTGACCTTATAAAGGAACCCGATGATAACACTGTCGGCTCTCGTAGCTATATCGAAAGTTTTCATTCATGCAGAAGGTGCTGTTCTCATGGGACCATCACCTCGTCACTATACATTCGTGCGAAGATTAAGAAACCGGCGCGGTTATAAGCCCGGCCCACACGTGAGTAATTTTACTCAAGGAAAATGATGCATGCGTTCAAAATACTCGTGTGCGGCGGGCTTAAAACGGGTGTACCATGTACCGTAAAGGAGAGCAGCGTACGGGTATAGCCGCAGCGGTACTCTGTCACTCGGCGTCTCGCGTCTACTGACACTCGCCCCCAGTAAATAAGAACGCCATAGAAAACGCGGCGGGTATAGAAACAACAGGTCGCTTGGCGCTGGTAATGGCCATCGTGAAGTCGCTGAGCGAAGCGAGAGAAACAATGTCGCCTCCCAATTCATCACTCGGAGAAAGTAGAGCGCTAATACAATTAGCGAGCAGCGGATAATGATGGGCGCTGCCGGAATGCCCCGACAGTCATCGAAGGGGCGAGTGTTTGCGCGACGATTACGGCCACGGCGCGGACGCCTTGACCATCGCCGCAGCTTAAATTTTCGTCCGTCCGATTTCGAGTTGTGTCGTTTGTTTGTCACTAGTTTGCGGTCACTGCACATGCACAACAACCACGTGTGCAGCCTGCCGAGCGAGATGTCGACGATGAAGCAGCTTTTGCCACGCTCATTCCTCGCCTTCAACCGATTCACGAGAATACCCGAAGTGCTGACACGCATGCCTCAGGTACGCGAGCGCGCATTGCAAGCACCGCTCGTACTCGTACACGCCGCACGTACTAGTACACGGGACGCACGCACTCACGCACGCAATCACGCACGCATACACACACACACACACACACACACACACACACACACACACACACACACACACACACACACACACACACAACACACACACACACACACACACACCACACACACACAGGCACGCGCGTACGCCCCGCGCGCGCACACGCACGCACGCACACACTCACACGACGCTATTACCGCACGTATATAGACACGAACACGCACATACAAGCGTCGTGTGTGATTACACCTTAGCGAGTGATCACGCTTCAATGTCAGAGCCTTATATATACTACAAGCGGGTCGTCAGCGTGTTGTAATTAAACTCGATATGTGCTGGCTTAAGGATCTTCCGTGTAGGGAATAATGTCCAATCTTTTAAAGAATACTATTTGATGTGAAGATGATTTCAAATCTTTTGTTGGCATAGCGCGCTAGCGCTCGCGAAAGAAAGTATAACAAAAGTTTTGTTTAACTCAGCGATTATATGGTGTCTTCTATAGGTAGAGAACATTGAGATGACAGGAAACTACGTAGAGAGATTACCCGGTGATACCGTGTCTGGAATCAAACACATTAAGCAGGTAATGCACGCTCTAGATGTTCCTAACATGTCTAATATATTTAGTTTACGCATTCGTCTGAAGGTTTGCCCATTGTAGTTGTAGAGAGCAGAGTCGCAGACCCCACTCACGGAGATGGTTAGTTACCATCCATGTTCCCAGTGCTTCCATCTACCGAAGAAACGATTATGCAACGCATTTATTTTATTTTCCGTAACTCATCAGCACGCACGCGTATTGCTGTGACATGGATTTATGATTTTTTTTGTATTGAGAATGATGCGTTGCTTGATTCAATGTCAAAAATATCTCCCGAGCACTTTGGTAGCGTCTTGGTCGATGGTTTTGCCCATGACACACGTTGTGATAACCTTTGTGGTGACCTCTGCGTCTCGTGGTTATTGCCTTACATCATGGACAAGTGTTATCGCCTTGCGTCGTGACGGTACTATCACCTGCGTCGTTACAACCATCTTTTGTCGTCACCAGTCTTTTACACCTTGGCGTAGTGACGATATATCACCTTGCGTCGTGTGTAATCAGCTCGCGTCATGACCGTTTATTACCTTGCATTCGCGTGCAATCAACTCGGCTCATGGCCGTGTTATCACCTTGCGTCGTGAGCAATCACTTTGTGTCGTGCCGATCGTTATCTGTGCGCCGTTGCTCTCAATCAGCTGGACGTGCGACTCAACTGTCTGACGCTGCGCCGGTTGAGACGATCACGTTTGAGCTGTTTGAGCATTTGATCGCACCTCGACGTGCGTCACAACAACGTCACCAACCTCGACCTGCGTAGCCTGCCCGCGTTGCTTCACCTCAACTGCGAGCGCAACCGCCTCGTGCTGCTGCAAGCTCAACGGCACCCTGCCTGCACAGACTGCTCGCCGCTCACGAACAGTACGTATAGCTAGCTAGCCGTCTTCGTTTTCGTAGGCTCTCCTAGTGCTCCCACTCTCTTCTTCTCTCTCTTTCTCTCTCTCTCTCTCTCCTTTCTCTCCTCTCTTCCTTTCTCTCTCTCTCTCTCTCCTCTCTCTCTCTCTTCTCTCTCTCTGTCCCGCCGCGTGCGCGCGCGCGCGCGTGTGTGTTTTGTGTGTGTTGTGTGTTATGTGTGTGTTTGTGTGTACGTACCCCTCGTGTACACGTACCCCCTCTCTCTATCTATCTATCTCTCTACCTATCTCTCTATTTTATCTATCTATCTAATCTATCTATCTATCTATCTATCTAATCTATCATAATCTACTCTATTAATCTATCTATCTATCT